CGCCGGCTCGCTGGAGCTCTGGGCCTCCAGCAAGGTGCGTGGCTCTGTAGGAGGGCGTGTGATTAGCCGCCTGCTCGGGTCACCTGACGCAGGGGCATCCTGGTGGCTCTGCGTCCATAGCGTGCATGCGAGAAAACGTGGTTCGGGAGACGCGTGGCCTCTGCAGTGGCGCTTTGGTCCCAGGACCTGGAGGGATGCAGCTCGAGCCCGACGCCTATACCGGGCGGGGGGCAGACTCAGGCCTCCCTTCCCCGGGCCCAGTTCATTCATTGGTGCGGAGCAGAATGGCACCACCGCATGGAGCTGCCCTGCGTGCCAGCGGTAGGGCTCTGAGCCCCAAAACACTTGAAATGATCTCAGATCGCAAACGCTTTTAGATGTGGGTTATAGCTGCAGATTTTAACATATTATAAATTAGAAAAAAAAAGTGGTTTTTTTCACTTAAAAATATACATATTCTCTTTTTGTTCTGTTTTCTGGTTTTTTTAATTTTAATTCGACCAGAGAAGGACAGAGGGGAAAGTGAGAAAGTAAGTCACCAAGTCCAGGACTTGAACCATGACCAGCCTTGTGGGAGTCCAGGGCCCTTAACCACCATGCCACCTGCTGGCTTCATACATTCTGAAGCAGATGTGTCTTCATCTTGTGCACCTCCATCTTGGTTTCCTAGTTAAATGTTGAAAGTCTTGTCCTCCTTCCTAACAGAATGAAAAGTCCATTACTCCTTTAAAAAAAAAAGAAAAGAAAAGAAAAAAATCAGGACCAGCAGTTAGCGTAATGGCTATGTGTCGCTGGACTCCCACGTAGTCGACCACGGTTTGAGTCCTGGACCCGGTGGCTTAAAACTCATGCCGGGCGCGTGTGCATGTGTGCCCAAGATCCAAGAGGAGAATGGAGAAGGGATTGCAGTGTGGCCATCCCTCCTAGGGGGTGATTTCTTGCTTTCTGTCTCTCTGTCTGTCTCTGTCTGGCGAGTGCACACGCCCTATAGCAAAAACATCTAAAAAAAAAAAATAAAATCCATTACCCCTGCCTGAAACCTCCATACCTTAAGATATCCCATGAGGATATGACATTAGTCACCAAACCCATTTGCCCTGAGCCATAAAGATCATTAAGATTTTATTGTGTTTAGATAGGGATGGAAGTGCCCTTGGGAATAATTAACCTGTTTATTTCTGCTTCTGCATTTTAAGCCCCTACCCCTACCCTTTCAAGCCCACTAGGTTTTGTTCTTGTAATCTCCATGTCAACCCAGAAAGGGTTTTTAAAAGACATGAGTCCTGTAGTCACTGGCGTATTAATCAATAAAACTCCAGTAAATTTCGCTCTGTCTGGATGTCCTCTTATTTTTCGCTGATTAGACTAACATTTGGAGGCCTCAGCCGGATCAGTACATACCAGTACTTGAGTGAGGCATCCAGCCTGAGGAGGGTGGCCTCACCAGGTGGTGGCCAGGAACTTTCAGAGAGGCATCCCTTGCTTACCTCAGGACCCTGGAGATGCCATTTGGGTTATTTAACTGCTGCTTGAGAGATGCCACCACTCGCACTGAAAAGTCCTCTGGAGGCACCTTTCTATCTGTCCTGAACCTGTCCTGTCTGCCCGTGGCTTTTCTTTTGGACCAATCACTTGTTTGTGGTGAGTATGTGGTCGGCACTGAAGGTGCCCCTTGGATGTTGATTCCCTAGGCAAATAGAAGCCTAATGGTGGGTCCAGGAAGCACTGCATGCAGTGGTATGGTCCCTGCTTGGATTCCCCAAGATGTTGCTGGAATCAGAAGCTAGGCTGACACGTGACTGACAGTCTAGGTTGCTGGATCAGGGGTTTACGTCCCTCCTTAGGTTGTACCCATCAATCCAGGTTGTTACATGGGGGTTCAAGTCCCTCTTTAGGTTGAAGCCTAGCAGTTTCAAGGAGTGGCATTATTCAATCTCAGATGGGTAGTCTCAGATGAGTAGACCTATTCCTGGGACTAAGTTTTCTGGGGCTGATGGAGAACATGTTTGGTGCTGGAAGCACCCCCTGGACGGGGTCCAGGATCCACCTGCCACTCCTATTTTCCCCCCTATTTCAGCAACTGGTGGGGGACTCTTTTTCTGGGCTCTTTTAGTTTTCTACCCTCTTTAGGGCCCTCCTTTGTTTTCTCCCTGCAAGGAGTAGTATCGCTCAGTCTCAGGTAGTCTCAGATGAATAGACCTATTCCTGAGACTTAATTTCCTGGGGCTGAGCAAGACCTTGTTTGCCATTAGAAATGCCTCCTAGACTGGGTCCAGGGCCCACGTGTCACTCTTATTCCCCCCACCACCACCAATTTCAGCATCTGGTAGGGGGACCCTCTTTGATCTTCATTTTGTTTCTCTTTTTCTTCAACCTTTATTTTCATTGTAAAAATAGTGCACTCTAGGGAGGGGGAATATTATAACCTCTAGAATGAATGGTGAGTGCTCTAGTGAGTTGAGTGTGTTTGTGGCTCCGTGGCTTCAGCTACAAAGTCTGAATAAGTCCTAACCTGTGGTTCTGTGGAAGCCTCCTACAGCCATAAGGTAAAATTGACACTGGAGACAATGACCCTCCCTGTGCATTCAATCCAGCGATGGGTTTATAGCTGGTTACCAAAGCTAAGAGGCTTGTTAAGGTCCCCATGATGGGCGCAGCCAGGCGGACACCTGATTGGCCTCCTCTTTGGAGGGGGTACCCACCGATGTCTGTCTTACAATCATATGGGAGGGTGAGAAGAAGAAAAATAGGAAGAATGGGGGAAAGAATAGCTCCTCTCGTGACTGGTAGGCCCCTCTTCAGACCATAACATATTTGAAGTGGGACCCCCTTACCCCTCAGGGAAATAGCTGAGCAAGAGGGCCCAAACCAGTTTCTACTATTTGACACTGCCTTCATGGCATTTAATAACCAGGATTTTTTTTTTTTTTTGAGAGGTTTTTGCTATAGGGCATGTGCGCTCGCCAGAAAGACAGAGAGATACAGAGAGACAGAAAGCAAGAAATCACCCCCAAGGGGGGATGGCCACGCTGCTATCCCTTTTCTTCCATTCTCCTCTTGGGATAGTGGGCACTCACACACATGCGCCCAGCTTGAGATTAAGCCACCAGGTGAAGGACTCGAACCGCGGTTGACTACATGGGAGTTCAGCTACATAGTCATTATGCCAACTGCTAGTCCCAATAACTGGGATCTTGAGGAAGGAAAAAGAGAACAGAACAAAGAAAAATGACAAGCCAGATTAATGGCTGTTGCAACTGGCAAAGCCCTTGATATCCACAGACCATCCAAGAGTTTATCCCAAAAGCAGACAGAAAAACCTGCAGATTCCTGCTTCAAGTGCAAGAAGACTGGACATTGGGCAAGAACCTGCCCACTGCCCCCCTCCTGGGCTCTGCCACCAGCGCTGCAATATGGGAAATAATCCTTGGCCTTGGAGGGTTGACTGCTCTTGAAGTAGGGGACAAGGCCTTCGTGAGCCAAGGGGAAGAAACTGACAACTAAAGAGGTCCGGGGAGATCCTCTAGGCCCCTGTCTGGAGAAGTCATCATAATCACAAGGAACCCTGGGTAACTCTGGATGTCATGGGGTAAGCAAAATTTTTTTTTCAAGATACAGGGGCTAGTTAGTCTGTTGGGCCCTCCTCACAAACCCACCATGGTCATAGGAATGGAAGGAAGACACATTGTGAGTTATTTTACCTCTCCCTTCATATGCCAATTTGAGAACCTAATGTTCTGACAGGAATTTCTACTAGTTCTCAGCTGCCTAGCCCCCCTTATGGGAAGAGATATACTGACTAATCTGGAGACCACCCTTAAATTTAAGTTTAGACTTCCAAGTATTATGATCATTCAAAATTTTGATGGAATACCAAGCCACATGGATGACACACATAACCCCATGGCCTGATACTCTGGGCAAGCAGGAAAGGCAATAACACCATCCAGCATCCTCTGTGAGGATACAATTCAAAGATCCCTCAAAATTCCCCTGTTGTAAACAATATGCAGTAAGGCTAGAAGTTACAAAAGGACTTGAACCCATTGTAAAGGATTTTTTTTTTTTTTAGAGAGGTTTTTGCTATAGGGCGTGTGCGCTCACCAGACAGACAGACAGAGACAGAGAGACAGAAAGCGAGAAATCACCCCAGCAAGGTACAGCACGGAGACGATGCAGTGTTACAACTCTTCAAGGTCGCATTGTCTATTGTGAGCAGCACGGAGACGACGCGGTGTCACAGCTCTTCAGGGTCGTCTGGAGACGATGTAGTGTTACAAATCTTCAGGGTCTTCAGGGTCATCTGGAGACTGCAGTGTTTCAGGTCTTTAGGCTCTCCAGGGTCGTCGTCTGGTTACTGTGAGCCAGGCATCGTGGTTATATACACACTGGTGGGCCGTGATTGGTTGTAAAAGGTGGGTTATGATTGGTTGCTTTTGGACCAATCATGAGGTGCCAGATATGCAAATCTGAGGGATTCTAGTGGCCAATCAGAGCAAGGTTTCAAAGGTCAGGGTTTTTTGAAGGGAACCAATCATGGCAATTGTTTGCTCTCTGAGAAACCTCAGTGACTTGCTGGTGTGCAGCCTCCCACATATCCCCCCTCTCTGTTTTAATTTGAGAGATGAGGAAAAGGCCTGGGGGAATCGTGCCTGTCTTAGGTTGGAGTCATTTATGCATTCTTACCCATCATTGGAGAGTCCCATAGCTATGATGGGCCTCCTGTCTTAG